CCTCATTCTAAAATGAAATTGGAGCAGTTTTACATAATTGTACGAAGTGCAGGATTTTAAAAACGAAGAAATCTGGGGCCAAAAGGGAAATAAACATATGAAAAATAATAACATGTAGCCAGGATAAGAATACCAAAAGTGGGTGTCCCAAGGTCCAGTTTACAGGCCTTTCACAGTTGACTTGGTTTTCACAAGCCTTTGGGGTTAAAAGTTGTTGGTGTTGGTTATCATATCTTTGTCTTCACATAGAATTCCTTATGAAATTAGGGTGAGCATTGAAGTACCCATGCTCTTGCCCACATGGCAAGTATAAAACACCACATTGTGGCAGCAGACAGGAGCTTTCCCAGAGCTCAGAGCACCTACCCATGCCCAGCAGAAACAGATAAAACCTCCATTAATTAAATCAGCTCAGGAAACCCACCTGGACACCAGGGTCTGGCTCCTTCAAGGCTCCAGATAGCACTTCACTCTGCTGGATTAATGACACAGTCCTGGCTCCTGGTGTCATGTTCCTCATAACTGGGACTGAACTTTCCTTAGAGTTCTGTCCAGAATACTCTGCTTCCAGATGCTGGCAGGACTAACCTCCCCTCTTCCTTTGAGTCTTAATGTCACCTTTCAGTGAGTTCTACCCTGACTATACGATTTAAATTTAAATTTCTTCTCCAGCTCTATTTTCTTCTGTGCACTTATCAACTACCAAGATACTGAAAGCTTTACTTACTTATTACTTTTTGTTTATTGACCACCTTGTTTACTGGGTATCTTCAGAGCACAGAACACTGTCTAACACATAGTTGCTCAAGACATTTGTTGAATGAATCAGGAAGTGCTTAATTATCTTGACGTTGGGGCAGCAGCCGATACCCTGAGCCTTTCCCTAGGCCCCTCAACTTTGAACAGCAGACTCCTTTCAAAGAGCCCAAAACCTCCCCAGAGACCAGACTTGAACCCGCTGGAGGTATAATCCAGTCAGGCTGTAACTGAGTGTACCCAGCAGTCAGAGTGCCCGCCCCTAGGGGGGCTGCAAGATTAATTCTGAGGCAACCCTGAGGCCAGAAAAACCCTACCACCAGCTTCACATCCTGGTTACCCTTGCTCTCTCCTTCAGTTACATACTTGTCACCTCACATCCTGGCTATTCTTGTTCACTCCTTCAGCTGCATCCTCTTCAGTTTTCTCATGCTCAAGTCACTGCTCTGTTTCTCTGTGGCCCAATCTCCCACTTCTCTTCCCCTGTACCATACTCTAACTTTCCACTGTGTGCTATGAAGCCCTGTTTCTTTACATCCTCAGCTTCTTCAGTGAATGTTCCTCTGTTTTCTGCTTTTAGAAACTCAGGTCTCCCCTGAAAACATCATTTCCTCTACAGCCCTGGGTGATGGAGGCTGCTCTTTCTTGTATACCCCCTTTATCCGAGGATCCCTCATCTCCGCTTGGTATTCCATTTATCCTTCCAAGCCACCAGTATGTCTTCCTTATTAAAAAACAAAACAAAACCTATTCATTGCTCATGCTATCCAGAAATACTACTTCCTACACTCCCTTGCTGTTCTCATTTACTCCCTTCTCATTCACTAAGACTTTAGCTCACAAGACATCTTTTCAATTAAGCTTGTAAGCCTGTTCATATGGCTTAGAATTTTCGGTTTTATTCCAATTACAAGGCACATAGTTGGTACTCAAGAAATATTTGCTAAGTGAATGAGCGAAGAATAAAATCTGAGGCATGGAGCAGAAGGCAAGCTGAGGATCAAGACTCATTTTGGGACTATATCCTTCCCAGTTTACCAGACACTGACAAGGGTCCAGGACAGGTTAAATCTCATCTTTGGCCAATTACTATTATCCCCACTTCATAGAGGAAACTGAAGCTTAGCAGTTAGGTAACCCATGCAAGATTAAAGCTAGTAAGACATGGAACTGGGCCTTAAAAATCTGACTCCACAGCCCATGTTTTTAATCTCCACAGCTGCCTTCCTGAACAACAAAGCTTGCAGTTAAAAGACAAGGTTTTGCATAGCTCTGCACATAAACATTCTGAATAATTTTCATAGTGTTGACAAGAGATTTGCCATATAGATGCAAGCGTTAGGGAATTCTCAAAGACAATAGAAAACAATTCTGCAAAGAGAATGAAAAGAATATAGTCAAGACAAAAAAATCCAAAACATCTATTTCCACATTTGGGGGGTATCATTGGATACAGAGATATTTTGAGAGTATTTCTATATGACAGGATTTTATGACTAGGAAGCACCTGAGGTGGGAGATAATTCTCATGCAGATATATCTGTGCTGCATTCTCAATTAAGGGTCAGCCAACTATGATCTGTGAGCCAAATCCAACCCACTTTCTGTTTTTTGTATGGCCTATGAGTTAAGAATGTCTTGTACATTTTTAATGGTCAGGAAAAAAATCCTAAGAATAATATTTCATGACACATAAAAATCATATGAACATCTCGGTGTCCATAAATAAAGTTTCACTGGAATACTGTCACACTCCTTTGTCTACATGCTGTCTACAGCCGCCTTCACAGTATAGCAGCAGAGTTGGGTAGTTTTGTAACAGAGACAATAAGGCCCCCCAAATCCTAAAATATTGACTACCTGCCATTTACAGAAAAAGTTGACCAACCCCTATTACAGAGTTTCAGAAGAGGAGTAGAGAGAGGCAGAGGCAATAATTTAAAAGAGATAATGACTGAAAATTTTCCAGAACATATGAATTCTTAATATTTAAGAAGATAAATGAATCCAGTCAATATAAATAAAAAGAAATCCTTGCATTTGTATATTTACTCATACTTTGTAGCACTCTTTCTTTTACTCTTCATAAGAACCTTCAGAAGTAGGTATTATCATCTACATTTTTCATAAGGGAGAATTGGGATTCTGAGAGCTAAAATGAATTATCTGAGATCATGTGATTCTAAGCAGCAGGGGCAGAATTCAAATCCAGTACTCATCCAAGTTCAGGTCCTTTCCTATACATCAGAAATTGAACAAACACAGCAGAGAAAGACTTCTGAATGGGAGAGTGGAACATTGCTAAGGAATTACCTCTAAAATCCTGAATTCTTAAGTTGGAAACTCCTCCCTGGAAGGGGGTAAAAACCTTTCCCACATATCTGTGCTTTCATCATTGGATTGGAAAAGCCTTTGCAGTAAGAGACAGGAAAGTTCTGTTTGTAACCTTAAACTGTGAGTTAAACTAATGAGGCCAAGCAAATTCCCTGGGCTAAAAAACAAAATGACTCAAATGGTCATGGAACCAGTCTGATACACAACTGAAAGCTACATCATAGCCTACTTTGTACCACCCAACTGTCAGGACAGCAGGGCAGGAGTGTTCTCCTAATTCCCCTCCCCACACTGCTGGAGACAGTTTAAATACTATAGTTAACATGTCCTAGATAACATGTCTTTTGTTCATCAATGTGATTCAACTTGGTAAATTACTACATCTCTTCTGTGCTGGTGGCATTTCACTTACTTATAGTTTATACTTGACTTGCTTTTTGCTCAGAGCATTAAATTAAGAATTTTCTCAAAGTGAAGCCTGTGGCTTTCTAGCATAATCAAGCCTCATTCTCCAGATGTTAACATGTGGCTGGTATCTCTCTACTAGCCTGGCATAAAGAACACACTATTCTTCAATTGCGGCTGCATTCATGCTGTGTAAAAACTAGGAGAATTACAACGCCTGAACTCATAGTATGATGAAGCACCAGAGCCAGGGAGCCAGATGTCAGGAAGAGGGACTGGATGCCAGACAATTCAGTGGGAAAACCAAATGGCCCAGATCTGGTATCTTGTATGTAGTGCAGCCATTACAATTAGAAGCAGCTGTGATCAAGGCTTTAAAAAAGAGAGGGAAGAAAGGAGACACAATTCTGATCTTTTACATCTGTCTGATACAGAACAAGGACTTAAGTGTGAAAAAATGACAAATAAGAATGGAGCCACAGGTTTGGAGCCATTTATTGCACATCAGCCATGTGAGAGGTCCTATGCAGGGCATGAACAGAGTGGGTATATCACCATCTCAAAACACCCCAGACTAATGGGGGAAGTGCCCAGTCACCCAGCCATCATCTGTGCAGCCATGTGTTCTGGGTTTAGTGAGCACCTAACAAACATATACCTCACAGTTTAGGTGCTAGGAGGCCAGCAAGGCCAGAACCAGGAAGGCTTCTGAAAGGTTTAGATACCCTGTGCTTGAAAGTCCCTATGAATTAATCATTTCAATTAAATCTTTATGACAGCCCTATGAGGTAGGTATATTGTACTCATCTTACAGATAAAACGGAGGCTCAGAGTGGTTAGGTAGCTTGCCCCAAATCACAAAAAAGAGGAACCGGCATTCTACGATTTCAACCAAGCTTGGCCTGGCTCTGAGCCTGTGCTTTTAATAAATTAACAATTATTATACAGTTAATTATAGTACAATGAGATAATTGGTGACAGCTAAAATTCACAGTAAGTATAGAGAAAGAATAATTCATTTGTGTAGGGAGGAGGTGGTCTTTGAGTTTTCCTACAGGACAAACAGGAAAGGGAATTTCAGGTGCAGACAACAGGTACACGCAAAGGCAGAGGGAAATGGAGGGTCACTTGGGAGGCAGTTACAGGAGCTAAAGTGGGGCAGGAAGCTTGATGAGGGTGGACTCTGTGTATCAGGCTGCAGAGCGGCTCTGAGGCCCTTGCCTCCTTCTGTGACTGCACCATCCTCCACTTTGTCCCTCAGACTCCTGGCAGTGGCTCCTTCCCTGGGCCAGCCAGTCTAAGTCCTTATGTTTACACCCACAATCCCATCCTCTCCAGGCCCCTGCAGGCTGTAACGTGCTCCAAGATTCTTGCTGACAGAGAACAGGAGCCCCCGGAAATCCCCAACAGCCACAGCAATGATGAGAACAGACCCTTCAAAGTTGGACCCCAGGTCTCACAGGCCCATCTACCCCAGAGTCAAGGCACTTCCTCAATCTACTCACAGTTTAGAGTCCAGCTTCAGGAGGAAGCCCAACCGATCATACTCTGAAAAAGAAAAGAAAAGCAGAGAATGTCACTTGAAGTCAAATCACTGCTGGCAGTAGCAGATTGCAGTCCCCAGATCTTGACCGGGAGGACAGACAACTGCTTTAAAGAACAGATCCAAATATATAAGCCACAACAAATTTAAGACACAAAAATCTTGCTGAATGCCTTTTTTGTGAATGACCAGGTCCGATGACAGGTATTGCCCAGGCCTCCTAGGCCAGCCAACCAGCCCTATGCTGATATATAATTACCTTCCTGTTTAAATGTGGTACTTGAAACCAACACTTAGTAAACCACCAAACTGGACCTCTGGAGAAGTAAGAGGGTCAAAAGCAACCTCTTCTTCCTCTAAGCTCTAATTTCCCCTATTTTTGCTGAATCAGCCATATTAATTATGGGGTAAAGAGACAGCAGCTAAGGTGTCCTCAAATCCATAGCAAAGATCCTCTTTGTGACAATCAGACAATAAGTCTAATTACGTGAAGAATAGGAAATTTAAAATGAAATCCAAGAACAAATTGTTAAGACCGCAACAAATGATAAATCATTATTTAAATTCTTTTTATCTTCCCTCATTCTAAAATGAAATTGGAGCAGTTTTACATAATTGTACGAAGTGCAGGATTTTAAAAACGAAGAAATCTGGGGCCAAAAGGGAAATAAACATATGAAAAATAATAACATGTAGCCAGGATAAGAATACCAAAAGTGGGTGTCCCAAGGTCCTGTGTGCTTGCTTGAGGGGGATTAAAGATCTGCTCCCAAGATTTCTCACAGCAAAAACTAAACGCAAAGCACTGATAGATATAGAGGTTTACCGTGTCCCTAAAATAAACCAGAAGAGTCACAGCTGTTTCTGATACTAAGACTTGAGGGAAGTTTCTTCTGTGTCCTCAAGAATATTTATATAAGGAAAATGATAGAAAGTATCATAAGATTGTTTCCTATCTCTTTGTTAAATGATTGCTGCGTGTGTGTAGTGGCTACATCAGAATAAGGTGGCCTGTGAATGCAACGCTCAGTTGACCTGGCTTAACTTGAGGATAAAACAATATGAAGACCAGACAGCCAGTTGACACATCGTGGAGCAAGGCTTTCAAGGTACTCGGTCTTTAATAACGAATGGCCAAGAGAGGGAAGTTACACACTGACGTATCTCGCAGGAGCCGTTCTGCAAGGCCAGGTAAGGCCAGACTTCTTAGTTTTCATAAGCAGCTGAGCTGCAGTGAGAGAATAATTCCTCTACTGACTACTGAAAACACCAATTAGGACACACAACTCAGCAGGTGGCTTGCCTCCCAAGAGAGTACACTTGGGCAAGTGAAAGCCTCTCCTCAAAATAATTCTGGTTTTGCTCTAACTCAGACAAATCAATGAGAGACTTTGCTGAGTATCAGGAACTTATAAAAATCAATAAGAAAAACAAGGTTTCAACTTAAAAAATACACTGAAAACACAATTTGCAAAGAGAGTTAGTTTCAAAGTTTAATAGTCTTTCAACATCCTGTTTTATCATTCCATGAGAAAGAAAATAGCATTAACTTGCCGATACCTGTCACTTTTCCCCAACGTGCTCTTAACCTTGGGACAACTATCCTGCTACTGCTCCTCAGAGCCGAGCTAAAACTCTGGGCATACAATGAATCCACACTGTAGCTGAGAATGTAGCTGAGCCAGAGAATGTTTTCCTCGTTGCAAACTCAAAGGTCAGGGGCCATGCAAGAATACAACAGAAATGAGGGAAATGGAAGAACACAACACCCTCCCTTACAGCTTATTTTAATTGCACTGAAAACAAATCCTGCTGGAATGTCTTTTTTTCACCACATATTTTTGTATTGTAACCCTAACTACGTCCAAGAGTTACTTTCCAATGGCTTATCGACTCTTGTTTTACACAAACACACTCTAAATGCATATTAAACATGTAAGAACACTTTGCATTTCTAAAGAAATTACGTCCTGTGAAGATAAAACAAAACCAAGTGAGTTCCACCTCCTCCCAAAATCCAGATATGCCAGAAAACAAGATGGATTCTGTCAGGCTGAGCCCAAAACAAAATGGAGGCAGATGGCCACGTACTGACAGGAGGCCACACACACATACTCTGTGTCCTCGGAAGAAGCACAAACTGACATCTGCTCCCTGAAGCAGAACTAGTCTCAACAGACAACAGCTGGAAAGTCAACCAATCAGCTGCAACCTGCATCAACCAATCATTTGCATAAGCACACCTGAATGGGAATCTGTGTGGAAACTTTGCATAAAAACCCCCTTTCTGTTTCCTCAGCATATTTTTGGTTCATAGACAGAGGCTACACCTCCGCAGTTTGCAAACTGTTTTTGATTTTTTTTTTTAGCAGTAAAATTCTCATTGATTAAATTAGCTGTTTCACACAGTCATTTGTTACCTGTCCCTTCCATGGCTCTCTTACACTATTTGTTGTTTTCTCTCTTTTGTTAAGAAAAATGAATACCAGAAACATTTCACTTTATTCTTTAAGAAAAGGTAACTGTATGAGCCCAGTGAGGATAAACGGCAAACTGATACTGGCTTCAAGGCACAGAGCCAAGAGGGCCTGGAGTCCATGTGGAGACCCCACACTATCTGAAGGGTAGCCCTGTACCAGCTCTAGCTAGCTGTGCCAGGCGACAATGCAGGGCCAGCATGACTACATCTTCTGATTTGTTTAAAGTCAAGAATCTGGATCGATTATGAGGATCAACCATAACTGTAGCTCTTGTTCTAGCCTGGAAGCTCATGAGGGCTGGAAGCATTTCTCTTGTGGCTACACACAGTAGCTGCTGAAGAAATATTTGTTGACTGCTATTATCAGGATTACTTGGTCACAATGGTCATAAATTCAAATCAAATTAGTCTAACAGGGTGCTAAAAATGTTTCAGCCAAGCCTCTAGGCTGATAACTTTCAAACACTAAAGTGAAGTTCTACACTAAGATGCAAATATTCAAAGGAAATATATGAAAACTTGTCACATAATTCTATAGGCCCTCCCCACATCAAAGTAACTGCTTGTGAGAGATTCCCAGAGAGAGAATTTGAAGAGTATCTTTGCGGAGAGTAGTGTTATGAACTCAATCTCCCATAATGGGTGGAATGGGTTTCACTTGTCTCTCTCAAGCCTGGCGAGGGAAGCTTAACATCTGACCCTAAAAGATTAGGGAACACAGTGGGCTGCCAGGTGCCTGACTTCCACGTGACAAACGTCGAGGACACAAGATGGGCTGCCTGTGGAGAGGACTGCAGTGGAACTGGCCTGTACCTCCAGAACTTGTTGCAGAAAAGGATGCCTAAATGTGGGGTTATTCTAGGTCCTTTCCTAAAGATCTGCCCAGCAGAGTGACAGGGCCTCAGTGGACAGAAGTGGGGTCAGAAGTTGGGAGTCCCAGGAGCAGCAGAAGGAGTGAGTGACAAGGCTTTCGTAAGCACATCGCCCCCCTCAGAGGAACTGCAGAGGAGAGACCCCAGTTGAAGGGGCCCTCCAAAATAGTACAAGAGCACCTGACGAGTTGGCTTTTCATACTTGGAGTTCAGAGAGTGCCAACACTATTTTATGTCTCTTCTGCTCTTTCTCTCCCCTTCCCCTCCAATTCCAGAGAGATTGGAAACAGCAGCTAGCAGCTTGGGGGAGGTGGGATGAGAAAGAGAAGCGGCACAGCCCCGCCCCTGGGCCAGGCACCTGCTGGTACTAAGCCCTAATTCAGGGTGGGGAAGTCACGGTAGCTCTGAATGAATTAAAAGCTATGACTATTACATAAAGCTGGATGCTCTAACTTTGGAATCGAGTGACTCAGTGCGACTGTGGGATTTTTATTACCTCAGAGGTATCAAAAACTTCTCTGGACCTCCCACACTGAAAACATTTTAAGGGCACAGAGGGGGACAAAATGAAGGTGGCTGTGGTTACTCACCCCCTGCCCCCGATGTCTCCTGCATGTTCAATACACTGGTTGCAGTAACTTAGGCAAACAGGGTGATTTAATGGTTCACACAACCGAAGTGTGGGGAAGGCCAGGGTGCAGAGGGCTTCAGGATGACCGAAAGTGACTGGAATGCTACCAGGCCTCCCTGAGTTAGCTTTCCTAACCCCTATTGTGTGTTCCTCCTAGTTAGGGAACACAGCCACCAGCAATGCTCAGGCACACATCCTCAGCTCTGCCCTGAAAATGGAATGAGACTCAGGTTTCTCTGCTCCTAATGGCAAAACTCCCAGGGAAGGGCTAGGAGTGGTCTAGCATGATCCTCTCCTCACACCTGTCCTAGACACAGTGATCGCGAAGGGGTTTGTAAAAGCTTATTACTCCCACATGCCACACATGGTTAGGAGAAGCTTTTACCAGAAGGAATGTGTTGTCCTGAATAAATAAAGGCCACTTGGGAACAATAGGAAGTCTTTGAAAAATGCAGGCTAGCTAAGTCTCCCAAGTGTAATAGGTACAGCCACTGTTAAAATGGGCCAAGGGCTTTACTCTCATTCCCCTGTGGGATTTTTCTTCCCTGATAAATCTCTTCTTAAATCTTTCTCATAATGCTCTCTGGACTCCCTATTTCAACCACCTGTTTATTGTCCTCTACCTCCCTGCAGAAGCCTGGCTTGCTTTCCCATGGCTCTCCAGGGGAGACTGCCTTTCCTCTTGTCTCGCCTGAGAGGGACTGCCTCAGGGCAAGTTCACTACAGATTTGGTAAGAATGAATAACAACAAAGCCTTAGGAGTAAAAGGGTTTATACCAAGTTTTATTCTCACAGCAGGTCAAATGCTGGAATCACATCTGCCTCTGTGGCGTTTGCCATCTGTCCCCATCTCTGCCTTGGTGAGAGCACTTGGTGGAGCTCTCTATATAGTAACACCAACAATAATGGCTCATTGCCAACAGGTGTGTAAGCACTGGCCTAGCAGTAGGCCAATTACATCATCAAGTAGTTCAGGGTCAGGTTGAGGACCTTGGTCATAGGAGCTTCCATTTTTCCCACACT